TATACTACACTGTACTATACGATACTGTATTAAACAAGGCAGCACCTTGAAGCCTTGATCCGTCCTATTGCAACTAGCCTGACACCTCAGACATGTGGGACCCGGACATCCTTTTGCTCATGACAAGAACCCTAAAAAGGACCCAATAATTAGGTACTNNTCGGATACTAGTTATGTAGGTTACTAGTTGGGAGAGTATTGATTGTTATAATTACTTGGACCCTTGGGGGAAGGTGCAATAAGATGGCAATCGAAGTCCGTGTCTGCGGGTTTCTATGGTGCGGGCTACTTGAAGGGCTTCTGGTGTAGGTGTTGAGGTTTAGGGCTAGGCAGGGGGATTCATGATTGAGAGTTCAGTTGGAACGGTAGCGACACGCCGTCGTGCTGAGATGAAATGCTTTCGGCAGCCGTCCGGAATATTTGCAAGCGACACGGCTTGGGTGAACAGAGCTTGCTTATTTCGTGAAATTCTGAATCAATCCTTGTGCATACCTCCGCAAGAGAATGCAAAGGATTCAGGGTATGCCCATAGGCCCCATAGTAGTCACCGACAGTGCACCTGCTGAAGCCCTCACCCGGTAACCCCAAACCCTAAACCCTAAACCCCAAATGACCTACCTTTTTAAGGAGTTATATAAAGAAATCATAATAAGGAACCGTAAAAAGGTAGGTTCTTTAGGGTCCAGGTAAATAGTAAACCCTATAAAACCCTTCAGACCCCAAGCCCTAAATTCCCAAACCAAGGCACCAACTTCACTGTCGAGTCCTCCAGCTGGGTCGCAACCTCGCGAGTTCCCGAAGCTTCTCACAAGGGCTAGAGGGCTATAGTGATAAGGGTTATAGCTGTAGTTTAGGGAGAAACCCTACATTCTGCTAAAGTATTAAGCAACTATTAGTGGCTCAAGTCCTAGGGTTTAGGCCGGCGCTTAAGCGTCCCTCCAGGGGACGCGCACATGCATGGGCTCTATGGACTGAAAAGATGCTTCACTTACTTCTTTGCTTCGACTGCTACAGTGTTAGAGGCTGATAGTGACCCGGGCTCTTGCTATAAGCACTATCCAAACTATTCCAGGCTGATGGTGATACGGGCTATTGCTATAAGCACTATCCTAGTTGCGCGCGTTTTTGCATCTCGGGCTTCGCGGTTCTGCAATGTAATCGTATTTCCGATTATCGAAACCTTACAGGTAGATAGGAGCCTTTAAAGGAACCCTTAAAGGAACCTAAACCCTGAACCCTTACGGGAACCTAAACCCTGAACCCTTAAAGGAACTCAAAAGTGAAGAAAAGGCCCGCCCAAAAATAGCGAACATCTACTTACAGACCCCAAAGCACGAAAGCCAGAGCCCTTCCAGCCCTTCCAAGCCTGAACGCACACCTTAAAGGAATCTAGTTCTAGAGCCCTGTAGTACCCTTTAAAGGGGCCCTAGAAAAGAGAACCCTAAAGCACCCTTTAGAGGACCTGGACCCCACAAAGTATGTAGAATCACAGCCTTTTATAGGGATTGGGCCAGCCTTTTGCCTACTTTGGGGTAGTTTTCTAAATTAGGGTCCTTTATTGGGTCCTTTTTTATAAGGGTGCCGTACTATATTGGGGACCTAAAAAGGGACCCTATTTTAGAGAACTACCCTTTTGGGGGATAAGGCAGGCAGAACCTTCCTCAACAGCTGCCTGCACACCCAGAAACCCATGATCTTCGTGGTTAAAGGCTTAGGGGTTTAGGGTTTAGGGTTTAGGGTGAGGGGTGCTGGGCTGTGGGTACAAGTTCAGGCTGCTTGGTTTTGGACGTCAGGGCTCTGGAAATGAGCAGAAGTGTGAAGGGCTGTTGGGTGTTATACGATGGTTTCCAATTAAAAGGTCCCCATAGTAGTTCCTTTTGGGGGTTAATATTTAGAATCTTATGAGGTAATCTCAAAAAGGAACGACTATGGGGCCTATGGGTAAACAGAACTTGATAAACCCTTGATGCCCCAAAACCTAAATAAACCCTAAACCCCTTATAAACCCTTAAACAGAACTTGCTCTTGGGTACTGCCCCCATACAGTAACAGTCTCTAATGGGGCTACTTTTAAGGGCCTAATATATCCAGAATATACATATTATCCGACTGTTACTGCGTGGGGGCAGTACCCAAACGTGCTTCTTTCAGTCAGAAGCTGAACCCCTTAATAAACCCCAAAGCCTAAACCCTAAGCTGAAACCCTAAACCCTTAAACAGAACTTGGCTTCTTTCAGTCAGAAGCTTGGCCTCGGCGATCAGGAAGTTGTCCAGCTTCACGTCTCGATGAGCGACACCTGACGGCTTAAGGGTTTAGGGGTTTAGGGTTTAGGGGTTTAGGGTTGAGGGACGCCTGACGGTTTAGGGTTTTAGGGGTTTAGGGTGTAGTTTTGAGGGTTCAGTCTTTAGAGTTTAGGGGTTTAGGGTTTTAGTTTGAGGGTTCAGTTTTTAGAGTTTAAGGGTTTGGGGTTTAGTGTTCAAGGTTCAGGTTTTTTAGGGTTTAGGGTTTAGGGTTTAGTTTTAGGGTTCTTTCACATGACCAGCTTTCACTTTTCCTGAAAGTCCATGCGCTTACATAGTATATACATTGGCCCTCCTAAAGTGCCTATGTAGGGACTACTTTGAGGCCATAAACTATATACTGTTTGGGCACATGGACCCCTATCGGATTTCGCGGCTGAGCATGATGCTCGAAAAAAACGTTCAATGAAAGCCTTTCAAACACCGAGCAGACTCCTAAAACTATCAATGCAAACCCTCAAACCCAAACCCCTAAACCCTAAATCAACCAGTTCCTCGTCCACGGGGGCCGAGACAACCCGGCTGCAACTTAAGATTTCTCTTTGTTAGTATGGGGTTCTTACAGAGTTCCCGGTATATACCAGGACCCTGCTTGCTGGCTCCTAGCAATAGGTATTTTGGAACCGAACAAAGAATAAGGGGTAGACGATGGAGGGTCTGGGTAGGCTGGTGGTTCTGGCAGGGTTGAGGGGTTTGGGGTGATGGCTGAGGGTTGCACGCGGATGGCGATTTTATGGGATGTCGCGTTGAAAGCATGTCTTCAGTAAACCCGAAATCCGTGAACGAAGCCTGCACCACTGAACCGAAAAAAGCGGTCTTGCGACAGTTTTCGGGAATCCCAAGCGTACAACATCACCCTTGCACCTGAACTCCCCGAACCTCATGTGAAGCATGGTGCTTGCTACTTATACATACCTCAGAATAATTGACTCATACACTCATCAAAGCCCTAATGTCAACCCTGGTTCTTTTGGCAAGACATCCTAGTCGCTCAGTAAACACGCCATGAACACTGTAATTGTACACACTAACTGCACACACCATAAATCCCAAATCCCTAAGCCCTAACTAAGCCTCTGAAAGGAGACTATGCTGGCCCAAAGTGGAAACTCGGCTCTGAACTCGACAGCCTTGCGCATGGACGTAGCGTATCCTGAGTGTCAGAAACCCGCTGCACGTCGTGGCATGTGAGATTCTTGAAAAACTGTATATATATATATACACATATATATATATATATATATGAACTAGATGTACATATTTGTATGATTATGTATGTATGTGTGTATGTCTGCTTGTCTGCTTGTCTGTCTGTCTGTCTGTCTGTCTGTCTGTCTGTCTGTCTGTCTGTCTGTATGTATGTATGTATGTATGTCTACTACATCCATACCTGCATAAGTACACATGCAGACATGCAGGCAGGCAGGCAGGCAGGCATACCTAATTACGTTCAAGCATACACACGCCGTACCTACGTGCAGACATGCAGACATGCACACACACACACACACGCACATACGTGCATACATGAATACATGCATACATGCATGCATAGAAACATGACTGGTGGGAGTCTCATACGATAAATTTAAAACTAGTTCGTACCTGGAATAATGAACAGTCGGGCATTTTTAGAATAGCGTCTGGCCGTAACCTGTACCATCATTCGATTTGGACTGAAAAAGAAATTTGCTACCGGTATTCCCGACCCCCATCGTAGAAAGTTGGAGGTCCAAGACGCGCCCGCAAGATCTGCCCCATAAGGCTTGAAGCCAGGGCTTCCGTGAGGTGCCCTCGGTGCTGGGGTTTTGAGCTGTGCCGAGTCCAGAGCCTATGGGCTGGGTTTGGGGCTTCAGGGCTTCAGAGACTAAGGGTGAAAGGATGACATAGGGTTGTAAGGTTTGGGCTTCACTGTATGGCTTCTGGGCTTTAGATGCCTGCACTACCGCGCCCACCCGCGAATTGCAGACTGGATGCCGAGCGTGATGATGCGATCAAGAAGTTCGCCTGCATCAAGTGCCGTTACCCAAAGGCCCCATAATAGTTCCTTTTGGGGATTACCTTATAGGATTCTAGATATCAACCCCAAAAAGGAACTACTATGGTGCCTGTGGGTAAGGCTTCGTGTCTTAGGACCTTCCGCTGTAAGGCACTAGACTGCGGCGGCTCAAGTTGGGAGTTTTCGAAAATTAGGGGTACCTTATTTTGGGGGTTCTTATAATAAGGATCCTACAATTTGGAGTACTATATTAGGGTCCCCTATTTTCGGAAACCCAAAGTTGGGTCTTACTTGGATGCTTTGGAGCTGTCCTCTCGATACCACCCTCGAGTGGCAATAAGGCTTCTGAGAACCTCGGTTAGGGTTTAGGGTTTAGGGTTTAGGGGCTTAGCGTTTAGGGTTTAGGGGTTTAGGAGTTAGGGTTTAGGGTTTAGGGCAGCAGTGAGCAGTAGTGCAGTAGGCTTCAGGGCAGTAGGGTTCAGGGTCTACCGTGGCTTCCCAAGCCAA